GTAAGTATGGTAAGAGTACACCACCTCGACTCACACCTCCTCGACTCACACCTCTCCTTATCTGAAACCGGGCAGGATGCCTTCATTCTGTTCCCACACTGCCTCGTGGTTCATGTACAAGTTCCCCATGAGCACAACGAAGTGTTCCGGAATTCCCATTCTTCTCAAGGCTAGCCACCGTTTGTTAGGATCAACCCAGTTGAGTGCCTTGGCATAGACAGTAAGACACAAGTAAACATCTTTCGGGTATTTCCTGCTTTCAGTCAAGATTCATTGGAAATCTGCAATGATTTCCTTTCTGCCACATCCTCTTCTGAATCCAGTTCAGGTTGTGGGGAGAGGGAATCAGTAACCACTGCTATTTGTTTTAAAGATGCAAAAATTTTAAACTAGAGGAAAGCTGTCATTATTGTGGGTGAAAAAAATTATAATTAAGTTACAGATACACACATTAAAATCAACTTGGTCATTTCATAATATGGATGGTCAACGTATACGTATTCACTTCTGCTAAGATGCTCGATAACTATATTCTGAACATCCTTATTTTAAAATGACCAAGTTGAATTCACACATGCATTTATGATTTAATGGTACTTTCTCCATTACCATATTGAAAACATCTTTCTGTCTTTAACAAAAAATGGCAGTGGTTTCTGACTCCCTCTCCCGTTAAATGGAAAACGGTTTAATTTCAATGATAAAAATTACACACTTCCTCTAAAACATGACCAGAAAGCATAAAGGACAAAAAAATCACACTGTGCAAAGGAAGCCAGCTGAAATCGTTCCCTCTAACTCTCTGCATTTGCAACTGCACACATTGCACATAAATGGGGCATCGTGCATGCAACGTGGGGCTTTTGTCCACCCTCGTCATCCGGCAGGCCAGCTTCCCTTGCCAAAAAGCAGAGTGCTCTGCAATTACTTTAACAGCTGCATATCATAGCAGTGTGCACATATGTCATCATTTCAGCCCCTCCGCTGAGCACATCTCAATGGGTTCTAATATTTTGCTTTCATAAAAAAAATGATTCCTTTGAGCAATCGTCTGTACAAATGTTTGTATACCTAATCAGTAACCTCCTTTAGAACAAATATATAAGTGAAATTGTTGGGTCAAAAGGAAAAAAAAATACAAGGGGTCTCAGAAAGTTCATAGAAAAATTGAATGGAGGGGAAACTGATCACAATGATCTATGTATAACCCGCTCCCAGGGGGACAAACATCGCTCAGTAAAAGGCAGGAAAGAAAAACAAAAGATAAATTATCAAGGGTTCATGAGGGAGGGAGGGGGGAAAAATCAGAAGTTGATATCAAGGGCTCAAGTAGAAAGAAAATGATGATGGCAACAAATGTACAAATGTGCTTGACACACAATGGATGGATGGATGGATTGTGATAAGAGCTGTAGGAGCCCCCAATAAAATGATTAAATAAAGAAAAATTGAATGGAAACATTATGGAATTTTTCCATGAAGCCCCCTGTGTAAGTCACTGCCATCAAATCGATTCTGACTCATAGTAACCGTGCAGATTCAATTAGAACTGTCCCATAGGGCAGGTGGAACACTCCCTGTGGCTTTCAAAGACTGTAATTCTTTACAGGAATAGAAATCCTGGCCTTTCTCTCATGGATTAGATGGTGGTTTTGAACGACTGACCTTAAGGTTAGCAACCCAGTGCCTAATTACTACACCACAGGGCTCCTAAGGAACCTCTAAAATGTTTGCAACATTGTACCAGTTTGTTCTCTTATCTGCAATGTGAGTACCTTTTGTTTACTTTCTGGACTACTCTTGATACTATGCATCTTATCTGTATCAATTTGGTGGTTGAAAATGATGAACTTTGTTTCCATTTGCATTATGAGATTGAATGTATTTTTCCCTCTTGATCATTCATTTGCTTGTTGGTATCTTTTGCCTGGTTTTCCCTCTGGGGTTCCCTGACCCCTCTTGATTTGCAATGAGTTGCTTGTAACTGAAAGGAGTCCTAATGGCACAATGGTTAAGAATGCAGTTGCTAACCTAAAGGTGAGTAGTCCAAACCCACCCAGCAGCTCTGGATCCCCAGGAGAATGACCTAGCAATCTTTCCCCACAAATATTAGAACCCAGAAGACCCCGTGGAGCAGTTCTCCCCTGTTACTTGTGGGGTTTCTAAGAGTGGAAACTGATTTGGCAGCACCTGACAACATGGTGAAATAAGATTAACAACCTCTGTTTTCTGCCAGCTTAAAAAATAAAAACCAAACTGTATTCTTGGTGAGTTGAAAAACAGATTGTACAGGAAAAAAATTGATTTTTCACAGGATCACAGAATCATGTTCATGATTTTCTCATACTCTACAAATATTTTTGTTTCTGATTTCTAATTGTGTTGTTACCTTGAAGCTCCTTCGCCACCTCATTAGTATGTATATATTCACGTGAATTTTCCTCTCTGAGGACCCCTGGTGGCATAATTGGTCTGTTCATTGTGTGGGCTGCTGCTTGAAAGCACAGCCCCACCTGGGAGAAAGATGAGGCTTTCCCCGCCCATGAAGAGTTGGTCAAGAAAACCCACAGTTTTCTGTTCCCTGGGGTCACTGTGAGTTGAAATGGACTCGCTGGCAGTGAGTGAGTTATTACATTTTCTTCTAGAGTTTTGGTAACAGGTATTTAATCCACACAGGATACTTACATCAACCTACTGCCATCAAGCACAGAACAGAACTGCTCCCAAGGCTTTCCAAGACTGTACATTCTTAGGGGAACAGCCAGCCTCATCTTTCTTCCATGGACTAGCTGGGAGGTTTGAACCACTGGTCTTTCCCTTAGCAGCCCAATACTTGGCTTACAGCACGACCTGGGCTCTCACAGGATTTACTGTACTTTTAAGAAAAGCAAAAATGTGTCAACAGACAGACCTGGAACTATTTATAGGCTTTTCTTCTTTTGTTGTTTCTGTTTTTTCATGTCTATCTAGATAAGAGAGGCAGGATAAACAAGTCCGAGACAAAAACAATGGACCGACAGTTCCAGGAGGACATGGGAGAGGGGGAGGTGGGGGAGAGAAAGTGGGGAGCCAACAAGCCCAGGGGCAAGGGAACAAAAAGTGATCTAAAATTGATGGCGAGGAGGGCGTAGGATGCCTGGTGGGGCTTGATCAAGTACAATGTAGCCAAGAGAAATTAATGAAAGCCGAATGAAGGTCGACCATGATAGAGGGGCAAGAAGCAAGTAAAAGGAAATAGGAAAGGACTAGGAGGCAAAGGTCATTTATAGAGGTCTAAATACAGGCATATACATGTGTAAATATATATAATGACAGGTACGTAGATCTATGTACATATAGTACATGTTAAATGTTAAGGTAGCAGACGGACATTGGGCCTCTACTCAAGCCCTCCTTCAACGCAAGAACACTTTGTTCTAATAACCCAGCATTCTGTAATGCTCACCTTCCTGACATGATTGCTGAAGACAAAATGTGTGCGTAAGCACATGTGATGAAGAAAGCTGATGGTGCCCGGCTATCAAAATATATAGTATCGGGATCCTAAAGGCTTGAAGATAAACAAGTGGCCCTTTAGCTGAGAAGTAAAGCCCACATGGAGGAAGCACACCAGCCTGTGTGATCACGGTGTGCCAAAGGGATCAGGTATCAGGCATCAAAGAACAAAAAATCATATCATTGTGAATGAGGGGGAGTGCAGAGTGGGGACCCAAAGCCCACCTGTAGGCAGCTGGACATCCCCTCACAAAAGGGTCAGGAGAAAGCGATGAGCCAACCAGGATGCAGTATAGCACCAATGAAACATACAACATTCCTCTAGTTCTTTAATGGTTACCCCCCCCCACCCTATCATGATCCCAATTCTACCTTACAAATCTGGCTAGAACAGAGGATGTACACTGGTACAGATGAGAGCTTGCAACACAGGGAATTCAGGACAGATAAATCCCTCAGGAACAATACTGAGAGTAGCAATACAATGAGGGTAGGGGAAAGGTGGAGGGAGAAAAGGGGAACTGATCACAATGATCAACATAGAACATCCCCCCTTCCCCAGGGAGACAACAGAAATGTGGGTGAAGGGATATAGTGGTTGGTGTAAGATATGAAAATAATAATTTATCAGTTATCAAGGATTCACGAGGGAGGGAGAAAAAAATGAGGAGCAGATACCAAGGGTTCAAGTGGAAAGAAAATGTTTTGAAAAAGATGATGGCAACATATGTACAAATGTGCTTGACACAATGGATGGATGGATTGTTATGAGAGCTGTAAGAGCCCCCAATAAAATGATTTTTTTTTAATGTATCGAGTATAGGGAGACAACTTTTGTCTCTCAACAAAATAAAAGTATATATATATATACTTTTATTGTTCATATATATAATATAAACAATAAAGAACAATACATTTGGAGATTAAAAGAAAGAAAACCAAAAATGCATCATGTAGTGTTTTTCTTTTAGATGTGTTTTCCCCTCAATGACTGTTCCCACATTAATTATTGAAGAGGCCATTTTCTTTCTTACTACATTCATTCCAGGACCTTCGGTCTCGTTTTCTTGAAGATGCTGTCTTCTTTCTTTCACGTTATAGGTATCATTTAATCAATCCCTATGACTTGGTATTTGAGAAGTTTCTTATTTTTTCATACAAGGAATACCCTTTCCGACTGAATTAAACCCATCACCTCCCTAGTTGGTTCAAGTTACACACATTTTCCGTTTAAACTTTACTCGTCTCCTGGACTCGTTTTTAAAATGACAACCTATAGGCGTCGTCGGTGTCAGCAATCATCCTTGGACAGGAACCCTCCGGCTGGGGGCGGCATCACCCAGGAGCGGCAGCAGGGGGCGCAGTCCTCCGGCGCCGCCTCCCTCACATCCGGGTTCCCCGCAGATTCGGGCCCGGAGCAGGCGGAACCTTTCCGTCGCGGTCCCGAGGAGCCTGCGCGGCGGGACGGTTTTGGCCCCTGCGCAGCGCTCTCCCCCGGCGCTGCCGCTTGCCTGGAGCAGCGAAGGCGGTCTCGCGGGTTCAGGCTGCCGCTTCCTTCGTCGTGAGCCGAGTGAGCAGGATGGACGTGCTAGCGGAGGAGTTTGGGAAGCTGACGCCGGAGCAGCTGGCGGCCCCGATCCAGACGGTGGAGGTCAGGGCCGCCCGGCGGGGAGCGGAAGGGGCCGGGACGCGCACTGAGGAGGCGTAGCCCCTAGAGCGGTCGCCGCGGGAGGCGGGAAGGTGGGGGCGAGGCCCAGCTGGGGCGGCTTCTGCGCATGCGTGTGGTCCACGTGGCTTGTCTTTCTGTGCGGACCCCCGTGCTACCACCGGGGCAGGGGAGCCCGTGGTGGCCCTCAGATCGGCCCCTGCCCGGATACGCCTGAGTCTGCCGGGATTGGGCTGCCCCCGCCGGGGGACGCATCACACCCTCGGCCTCAGACTAGGACCCAGAGCCCCAGGGGACGGAGACCACGTCGTTTCTTTCCGTAGCTCGCAGGGGGGCAAAACCCCATTCTCTGACGCCCTGGCCAGGGACCTCACCTTTGGGCCACGCGGCCGAGATGCTCTAAGCGCCTTGAAAATGAATGAACACGCCGGTGTGTGTTGTCTGTTTTCCCAAGTCCAGGGTCACTCCCCTGCACTAAGACACCGAGTGAAGTTTCTATTGTTCCTCTCGCACATTCTGTCATCTTTTTAAATGGGGAAATGCCCATTATATCTGGTTGGTATGCGATGTGAAATTGAAGCAAGGAGAAAGATTTCAGGTAGAAGGCAGATCTGACGTTTTGTAGACCAGGTCATCTGTTGAACTTGAACTGAATAAAAGTGAGGAGGGGGGAGATAGGTAAGGAACCTCATTCTGCAGGTCTTCGCTAGATAGCAGGAGCTTGAACTTCCCGTTCCCACGCAAAGCCACCCAGTAGAACAGGAGACCTGCTCCTGTGGGTTTTCTAGATTGCAACTCTTTACCGGAGTAGAAAGCCGCATCTTTCTGCCAGGCGTGACTGGTGGTTTTGAACTGCTGACCCCGTGGTTAGCGGCCCCAGGAATAATCCACCATTCCACTCTTCTTTTTTCAATCCTAGGCACAATGAGGTGCAATCTTAAGGGTTTAAGCAGTCGAGTGATGCGATAAGTCTCTGTTGGATTATACTCATGAAAACCTCTATAAAGTCAAATTATAATCAATCAAATTCATGCCTGGGCCACTCAGCTAATCATCAGGCAATTGCACTTTGCTGAGGAGCCCTTGTGACCTAGTGGTTACCAGTTGAGCTGCGATCCACAAGGTCAGCAGTTCCAAACCACCAGCAGCTCTGAGGGAGAGCGATGGGTTTTCTACAGTTCCAGTCTTGCAAACACAGGGGCCGTCCGAACCTGTCCTATAAGGTTGTTATGAGTCAGTATCGACCCTATAGCAGTGAGTTCTTTTTTTGCTTGACCATCAGCCACTTAACTGGGTCTTAACTCTTGAGTTTGTATTAAGAGCTGGTAATTACTAAGCACTTAAGACACGCTTGCTATAAAATGGAGGGCCAATGAAAAATAGGAAGACCTTCAAGGAGATGGCAGTGAGGAGGAGAAGAAAGTGATTCTCCTAGATGATGTTAGATAGCTTTGTTGCTTGTGGCCACTGTGCCGGCTCCTCCCTCTCTCTCATTCTATTTTTCTTTTATTTTCCATTGGCATGCTTTTGTATTAAGTATTTTATTGTGATTTGGGTGGAAGTTTATAGAGCACAATATTTTCCCATTGAACAGTTTATAAGGCCTCCCCCCAAATGGAACAGCACTCTTCCCACTTCCTCTCTGGATTCCTCATTTCCATTCATCCTTGTTTCCTGCCACTTTCTGGCTTTTGTTTTTTGGGAAACACTGCCCTTTTGGTCTCCTGTGGTTGACTGGTACACCTTCTTCCTTAGGATATTGTTCACTCTATAAGCTTGCCTGTGGTTTGGCAACAACTCGAGGATGGGACAGGACTGCAGTGTTTTGTGCTGTTGTACTTGGGGTGGCTGTGAGTCATAACTGGCTCCACAGAACCTAACAACCTGGTCCAGAGAACCTGAGATGAAGTCTTGCCATCCTTGCTTTTAAAGAGCATTCAACTATTTCCTTCAAGACACTCCCTGCCTTCTGGCTTTCCACTCTACTTTCAATATTCTTTATCAACAGCAAAATTCAAATATATCAACAGTGCTATGGTCTTCATTAATCATTGCCCAACTTTCACGTATACATGACATGATTGGCTCACCTTGGTCCTCAAAGTGCCATCTTTGCTCTTTAGCACTTTACTGAGATCTTGTGTAACAGAAGTGCCCAATGAGTGGTTATTGTTAGTGTCAGATTGTGTAATTAATAGTGTTTACCAATGTTATGTTTTAGTCTTCTTGAGTCATAGTCAATTAGTATGGCCTTTCTAGCTATAGTTCATTATGTGATGTATTTATTCAGTTCAAGTTCAAAGCCATCAACTCAGCTTTGACCCATGGCGACCTGCACAACAGAACAAAACACTGCCTAGTCCTGTGCCATCCTCATGGTTGTTCACTTGATTGCGTCCATTATTGTAGCCATAGTATCAGCTCATCTCCTTGCGGGCCTGCCTCTTTTTGCTGCCCCTCTACTTTACCAAACATATTGTCCTTCTCCAGCGACTGATCTTTCCCGATAGCATGTTCAAAGTATGCAAGATGAAATCTTGAGATCCTTGCCTCTAAGGAGCACTCTGGTGGTATAGGGGTTATTTGCTGTGCTGTGTTCCTCAGGGTTGGCAGTTTGAAACCACCAGCAGCTTCTGGGCTTTCTACTCCCGTGAACAGTACCGTCTTGGAAACCCATAGGGGTCGCTATGAGTCATCATTGGCTCGATGGCAGTAAGAGTAAGGTGTGCTCTGGCAATACTTCTTCCAAGACAGATCGCTTGGTTCTTTTCTATCGCACTTTCAGTATGCGTCCCCAGCACCACACAAGCCACCACAGTAGGACAAACTGGCAGACAGGTGGTGGCATTACTATCTGGGTGAGCAGATATCTCATCATTGCCTTAATCGGTATTTCTCTAGTGGCTAATGATTGTGGGCATTTCTTCATGTATTTGTTGGCCAGCTAAATGTCTTTGCTGAAGTGTCAGTTTGTGGCCTCTGCTCGTTTTTGATTGGGTTGTTGTCTTTTGGTTGTTAAGGTGTTTAAGTTTTTTATAAATTTCAGAGATTAATTCCTTGTTATATATGTCCTTGCCAGAAAAATTTTCCAGGTCTCTTTTTACTCTTGTGCAAGTCATTTGGTGAGCCTGTGTGTTTACTTTTTTGGCAGTCCTATTTATGTAGTTAATCTTCTATTTGTACATTTTAGTTATGTTTGGTATTGTCTTTGTGGCATTTCGGGGCCCTAGCATTGTCCTTATTTTTATTACATGAGCTTTACAGTTATAGGTTTTATGAGTCCTTGTGTTTGGTGTGAAGTACAAGTCCTGTTTCATTTTTCTACAATTGCACATCCAGTTTTATTAGCAACGTTTGTTAAATGATCTCTTCCCCACATAATGGATCTCGGCGCTCCCAACTGTCCAAGTGGTGGTGGTGGTTAGGTGCCTCTCAGTTATTTCCCACTCGTAGCAGCCCTGTGCACAACAGAAAGAAGCACTGCCTGGTCCTTCCTTGTCTTCACAATTGTTTGAGCTTCTTGCTGCAGCCACTGTGTCAGTCCATCTCCTTAAGGGTCTCCCTTTACTTTGCAAGCATGGCGCCCCTTTTCAGGGATTGGTCTCACTTGACTACATGTCCAAAAACAAAATTTCACCATTTGTGCATCTAGAGAGCATTCTGGGTACACTTCCTCCAAGAGATATTTGTTTGTTCTTAGGGCCTTCCCTGGTATTTTCTATATTCCTTGCCAGCACCATAATTTAATGCATCATTTTTTTGGTTTTCCTTATTTGCTGTCCAGCTTTCACATGCATATGAGATGACTGAAAACACCATGGCTTGGGTCAGGCTCACCTTGGTCCTCACAGTGACACTGTGGTCTTCTGCAGTGTAAATAGGTCTTGGGCAGTAGATCTACTCAATGCCCTTTAGTGGTTGGATTCCTTGGCTGCTGCTTCTGTGAATGTCGATTGTAGGTTCTGGCCAAAGGAAGCCCTTGACAACTTCAGTCTTCTCCCCATCAATCATGATGTTGTTGATGGGTCCAGGTGTGGGGTCCTGGCTTTTCTTTTCCTCAAGTTGTAGCCCATACCGATGACAGTCGTTTTTTTTAATTTTCATCAACAGTGCTTCAAGACTTCCTCACTTTCAGCAACAAGATTGTAGCATCTGCATATTGCAAGTTGTTAACAAGCCTTTCTTCCAATCCTCTTCATGTAGTTCAGCTTCTTGGATTTTTTGTTCAGCATGTGGATTGAGCAGGCATGGTGAAAAAATACAACTCTGATGCACACCTTTCCTAATTGTAAACCTCTATTCCATTGTTCTGTTGGAATGGCTGCCTCTTGGTCTATGTATGATTCTGTGATCACAGTGAAGTGTTCTGGAATTTCCATTCTTTGAAATGCTATCCATAGCTTGTTATGATCCACACAGTCAAATAACTTTGCAGAGTTAATAAAACACAAGTAAACATCTTTCTAGTATTCTCTGCTTTTAGCTAAGATCCAGCTGAAGTCAACAATGAAATATATCCCTTGTTTTATTACTTCTTCTGAATCCAGCTTGAATTACTGGTACTACCTTGTCTATGTACTGCTGCATCTGTTTTTGAATTATCTTCAGTAAAATTTTCCTTTCATATGATATTAGAGATATTGATTTATAATTCCCGCATTATATTAGGTTGTCTTTTCTGTTGAATGGGCACAGATATGAATCTTTTTCAGTTGATTGGCCAGTTTCCAACTCATCAGCTGTTGAAATATTTCATTTGGTATTCTGTCGATAATTGTAGGTTTGTTTTTCACTAATGCCTCCAGTACAGCCTTGGCTTCTTCCTTCAGAATGACTGATTCTTGATCCTATGCTACCTCTTGAAATGGTTGAGTGCCCACAAATTTATTTTGAAGCAGTGACTCTGGATATTCCTTTCACTTTATTTTGGTGCTTCCTGTATCATTCAGTAGGAGTGCCCTGGTGGTCTAATGGTTACGAGTTGGATTGTGATTTTCAAGGTATGCAGTTTGAAACTATCAGGTGCTCTGAGTTAGAAAGATGGGCCTTTCTATTCCTATAAAGAATTGCAGTCTCAGAAACCCACAGGGGCAGGTCTACCCTTTCCTATAGAGTCTGCATGAGTCAGAATGAATTCAGTGGCAGTGAGTTTGGCTTGGTATCTATCATTCAGTATTTTGACCATAGGATCCATCAATACTGTAACTTGAGACTTGAGTTTTTCTTCAGCTCTTTCTGCTTGAGGTATATTAAACGTGTTCTTCCATATATGGTGGTTTGTTTTTTTTTTGTCATGCTGTTCTTTGGAATTTTCTGTTCAGCTCTTTGACTTCATTTCTTCCATTTACTTTAGCTACTCTGTGTTCAGGAGCAAATTTCACAGGTGAAAGACAAGGCTTTCTACTCTTGTAAAGATTTATGGTCTCAGAAACCCAGAGGGGAAGTTCTACCCTGCCCTATAGACTCACTGACTGAATAGGAGCCAGACAGTGAGAATTATGGGTGGGGGTGGGAGGGCTGTCAGGGAGGGCAAGAGCAGATTGCAGACCCTTTTGACATCTACTTTGGTCTTTTCTTTCTTCTTAATGACCTTTTGCTTTCTTTATAATCATCTTACAACTTGTCAAGTGTTCGGATATTAGCATTTAATGGGTCAAATCTGTTCTTAATATGTTCTCTAAATTCAGGTGTGATATATTCAAGGTCTCACGGATTTATTTTAATATTCTGCAGTTTCAGCCTGAACTAATGAACAATTGGTGGTCTGTTCCACAGTTGGGCCCTGATATCATTTTGGTGATAATACTCAGTTTCTCTTTCATCTCTTCCCACAGATATGGTTGATCTTACTGTATATTCCATCTGATCAGGCCTGCATGTAGAGTCACTGTTAATGTTTTTGAAAAAAACATATTTGCAATGAATAAATCTCTGGTTGCAAAATTCTATCATACAGCTTCTAGCTTTGTTTCTCCACCAAGACTGTGTTTTCCAACTGCTTTTCCTTCCTCTTTGTTTCCAACTTCCGTAAGCAAGTCATCAAAGGTTTTCAGTGTGTCTTGATTGCATCTTTGATCAAGTTCAGCGTAAAGACATTGATAAAATTCTTTAGGCTCTTCATCAGTAGCTTTAGTGTTTGGTGTGTAAATTTGAATAATAGTTATACTAACTGGATTTTTTTGTAGGTGTATGGATATTATCCTATCACAGACTGCATTGTTCTTCAAGATCTTGATATTTTTTTTAAAAATATGCCATTTCTCTTGAATTTTTCATTTCCAGCATACAGCTATTTGTATATGTATGATTGTTCAAATCAAAATGCCCAATACCAGTTTATTTCAGCTCATTAATGCCCAGGATATTGATCTTTATGCTTTCTGTGTCATTGTTGATGACTTCTAATTTTCCTAGATTCATACTCTGTACGTTCCATCTTCTGACTAATCCCTCAGAAATCCATAGCGTCTTTGTTCTCCCGAGTGTGTACTTAGTCTAGAAGCTCAGCTGATGCTTCTTCGTGGACTGCCCTGTATCTGAAGTTCTGGTGGTGTAGTTTCCAACACCACAGCAACATGCAAGCCCCCACAGAATGACAAGCTCCCCATAGGGGGGCAGTTTCCTTCTGTGTTCTCGGGTCTGTTCCCTTGATCTGCATGTCTGCTGCTGTATCAGTACCAGGCTGTTTTGTCTACCGTGGCTCCATAGTAGGTTCTAAGGTCGGTTGGTGGGAGGCCTCTTACTTTGTTATTTTTCTTCAGTAATGCTGTGCTTATTTGAGCCCCCTTTCCTTTCCCTCTGAAGTTGGTGATTAGCTTTTCTGCCCTGCTATAGAATACTGTTGGAGTTTAGATCCGGATTGCATTATATCTATAGATCATTTCAGATAGTGTTAGCATTTTCCCAGTGTTACATTTCCCTACCCATGAGCATGATAGGTTTTCCTCTATGTAGCTCTCTTTTGGTTTCTTGCAGCTGTGTCTTGCAGTTTATTTCTTTGTTGTATAGCTGTTTAACATTCTTAGTTCAGCGTATTCTTAAGTGTTTTATCATTTGAGTTACTATTAATTGATACTGTATTTCTGGTTTCCTTTTTGACGTTTTCTCTGCTGGTGTGTGGAGCAGTGTTTCCCCAAAGTGGGCGATACTGCTCCGGGAGTACCCTGGAGCATTCTGGGGTGGGGTAGGCGTGGGGCTGCAAAACTAGATACTTACACTTTATCCTGAACTATGGGCTATAGAATAAAAGCTTTTAATTCCAAGGGGGAAGCTCAGTAATTTCTTTTTTCTGAAAAGGGGGTGATAAGCCAAATAAGTTTGTGAATTTATGGTATACAGCAGCAGTTCTCAACCTGTGGGTTGCGACCCCTTTTGGGGGGGTCAAACAACCCTTTCACAAGGGTAGCCTAATTCATAACAGTAGCAAAATTATACTTATGTAGTAGCAAAGAAAATCATTTTATGGTTGGGGGGTCACCACAACATGAGGAACGGCATTAAAGGGTCACGGCATTAGGAAGATTGAAAACCGCTGGTGTAGAGGGTGGTTTTTATATGTTGATCTTACATCCGCCTATTGTGCCGAATTCTTCTGTGAGTTCTGATAGTTGACTTGTGGAATCTTTGGGATTTTTTATGCATAATCTCATTTCATCTGCAAACGGGTATAGTTTTACTTCTTTCTTAACCCATGTGCATGCCCCTTATTTCCCTTTCTGGATTTAAAGCTCAAGGTAGAATTTCCCATAGTCTGGTGAGTAAGGGTTGTGATCAAGGGCTTGCTTGTCTGGTTCCCAAGCTTTCTATCTCTGGTGGAGAACTATGTCGGTGGTTGGGTTTTGAATAAAGCCCTTATTAAGTTGGGAGACTTCTCTTCATTTCCATTTTGCTGAGAGTTTTTTGATCAGGAATGTATGTTGAACTGTATCAAATGCCTTTTCATTGTTGATAGAGAGCAGCATGCAATTCTTTTATTTACACATTGATTGATTTTCTAATGTTGCGCCATCATTGTGTACGTTGTGTACAATCAGCGAGTCACTTGTCTTGCTGTGTTATTTTTCCCGTATGCTGTTGAGTTTTATGGGCTGAGTTTTGTTGTGAATTTTGGTGTCTGGATTCATGAGGAACAGCTTCCTTTCCTTGCAGTGTCTTCACCTGGCTCTGGTGTCAGGGTTACGCTGGCTCTTTAGGATGACTTGGCTTTTCTCTGAGTGGCAGAATTCACAGTGAAACTTGCCCATCTTTGCTGGAGCAGCTTTTCTGGCAGTGAGGCAGGTCCCTGGTTACAGTGGGTTAAGGAGGAGTGGGCTTCCAGGAACAGAGAAACTGAGTTGAGGCTGTTTTCTGGATGGCATTAAGGCAGTGAATGGGCAGAGATAGAAGCCAGGGGGATTATGGGGGTCAAGACATCAGGTCATTTCTGAGCAGCCCTGTAGTGATGCCTAGTGACACTCATTGAGATAGGAGCTCCCAGCAGGTGCTGAGGCTTCTGCCCTCTCCTCAGCCTGATAAACCTGACTTAACTCGGGAATTGTCGGCAGAATAGCAGAGTGCGCCATGTGCTTGGAATCTCCATCCCTCCCCTCCAGAGAAGATGATATTCGACTGAAGTAATTTGGGATCTCAAAGATTGAATTACACTCTTCGTTAGACCTTTGGGGTACACACACACACACACACACACACACACTCGCTTTAGAAAATTTTCTATTGTTTCCAACTATAAAAGTGGCTTTAATTTAAAATGTATCCTTTTGTCCCACTTTGTTTTTCTGGCTGTGAAAAAGCACCTAATATCCTCTGGAAATATTGTGGCTGCTGCTACCAAGTTCTGATCTTCTTCTTTTGATTCACAGGAAAAATGGAGGCTGCTTCCAGCGTTTTTGAAGGTAATCATTTTTACATTTAATATTTGGATTTTTTTAAGTTTATAAAAGTACAAAAGTAAGCCTTTGTAAAAAAATTGTATCACCAGCTAACATTTTTTAGAACAATGTACTTTGGAAATATGAGGACACACAGGCAAAATCCCTGCGGATAAAGAGCTGGTGATGGGGGCAGGAGGAGCAGCATCCCTTAAGTTGAGTGAGGACACAGTGCACACTGGAGTATGATGTCATCTGTGCATAAAAAGCCAAGAGGCCACTGGCAGAAGAGTAATGAATACCACGACAGAGAGGGTGTTCTGATTCTAAGACAGGACTCCCATCTGAAAAGGGTGTAGAAGCTCTGAGCAGTGGGGTGTAGTCTGTAAGTCTGTTTTGCTGGAATGGATGGTGACTCATCAGAGAACTGTTGACTATAAGGTTGGTGCAGGACTTCAATTTAGACTAAAGAGCTCTGCTAAACAGTAATGGGAGGAAACCCTTCCTTGAACACTAGCAGGGGATTGCACATTTGATGGCTATTAAAAAAACACACAAACTCTGCCATTGAGTTGATTCTGATGTTCATTATAGGGCAGAGTAGAAATGGCCTTGCCAGTTTCCAAGACAGTAACTTTAAAAGAGCAGAAATTCTCCTCCAGAGTACCTGGTTGCTGTGAACTGCTGACGTTGCTGATTAGTAGGCCAGTGCGTAACCACTACTCCACCAGGGCTCCTTGTCATGTAGTCACTATGAGTTGGCATCAACTCAATGACAATGAATTTTGAGAATTTAGTGTGCACACAAAGTACCCAGTGGAGGTCACCTGACTTAGGAGCATTGTTTTTGCCAAAACCACAAGGGATTGTTTTTGACTTTTTAAATACAGTAGGGAGAAGCTTTACTAAATAAAATTGATAGGTTTTTTACTCTTTTTTTTTGAGTAATTCCAAAACTGTTTTCCAATTTGGTTTTCAAAAACATTGGTGGTCATCATGTTATATGATCTACTCGTTCATTGTTGACTATTGTTTTTCTTTGTATCTGTTTAGGTGAAAGGCCTTGTGAAACAGCATATAGATTCATTTAACTATTTCATTAATGTAGAGGTAAGCATCAAATCTTAACCAGAGACGAGGTAAGAAATGAAGGCCCATATTATATCTTTCCTAATGTGCTTTGTTCTGTTTCCTTTCCCGCTGCAGATAAAGAAGATCATGAAAGCAAACGAAAAGGTTACAAGTGATGCTGACCCAATGTGGTATTTAAAGTAAGCAATCACCTCTTAGTCTAATACAGGGGTCCTCAAACTACGGCCCGCTGGCCACATGTGGCCCACCGAGGACATTTATCCAGGCCGTCAGGTGTTTTTTGCCCCGTTTTGTTTTTTACTTCAAAATAAAATAAGTGCAGTGTGCATAGGAATTTGTTCATAGGTCTTTTTTTAAACTATAGTCCGGCCCTCCAACGGGTCTGAGGGACAGTTTAAAAAGTTTGAGGACCCCTGAACGTCTTAACAATAGAGTTAACTACCTACACCTTTCTAAAGTAATCCCTTTTTAAAATCTATTTAATAGGATGGAGGGGCTTCACAAAGTTTGTCGAAAATGGAATGAAATTATGGCATTTTCTCATGAACTTTTTAAAGGCCCCTGATATAATTATACAGTGTTGGAATTAATGTGTCATCTATATATTAAACATAAAAGATCCCTGGTCGCACAGTGGTTCAGCACTTGGCTGCTCAACAAGAGGGCTGTTGTCTGAGCTCACTGGCTGCTCTGTGAGAGAA